TATGCATTAATGCATTATACAAATTTAGATAAGGCAATTATAAACATATATGAAAAGATAAATCTTGAAATTGCTAGCAATATAAAATCTAAGAATAAATACTTAAAAGCTTATATTAAATTGGAATAATATGTATAATAACAATAAATAAAGCAACCAAAAAATTAATATATTGCATATTCTTCATTAAAAAATCTTACCTATTCTTAAATAGTGAATTATAATATTCCTAATTTATATTAATTATTGAATGGCAAATAGATATTCATAATTATATAATATGTATAAAAATTAGAACTCTTTTATATTAAATAAAATTGGGTTTTAAAACTATACATTAGTATTGCTTATCTTAATCTATTGCAAGATGTCTGCCATTGAGTCTAGTGCTAGTAAAAAGTGAAAAGAAAAATCTGCTATCACTTTAGAAAAGAAAGTTGAGATTGTTAAAAAGAAGGAAGAAAATGCAAAACTAAGCCATCAGAATTTGGCAAAATAATATAGTATTGATAGGTCCACAGTAAGCAACATTTTATAGGATAAAGATAAATATCTTCAGTTATTCGATACTATATCTTCTCAAGTGCAACAACATGTTTGCATAAAAAAGAGACAATTTCATATTATTGATAAGGCTGTATATAAGTTGTTTTTAAATTTTCATTCTCAGAATGTTCCTGTTTCTCAGAACATACTCAAAACCAAAGCACTTTTTATATATGAACAGCTTAAAGATAGTGGTATAGAATTTTCTTCTACATTTTAGACATCTAATAGCTGGGTGTTTGGATTTTAGTGACAATTTGGTATTAGTTCAAAGACCATATCTGGAGAAAGTGAATCAGCTGATAAGGTTGCAATTAAAAGTGAATAACATCATTTTCAAGAATTACTCAAGGATTATTGTTCTGATAATATTCTTAATGCAGATGAGATGGATTTCTATTTTCATCTTAGACTAAACAAAACACTTGCATCTAAAAGTGATGCTGCTAAAGGATTTAAAAAAGACAAGCAATGACTCACTATACTATTTTGCTACAATGCATCAGAAACATAAAAATTTAAACCATTTGTAATAGGTAAAAGTGCATGTTCACAATGTATGAAAACTATCAATATATCTAAATTACCCATATATTATTCTAACAATAAAACCATATGGATAACTAAAACAAAATAAAAAAATTAGTTGAAATAGTTAGATACTCAAGTCAATCAGCCAACTATTCTCTTAGCTGATAATTGTGCTGCATACTCAAGTTCCAAGTTGCAAAATATTAAGTTGAAATTTTTGCCAATACATGTGATACTAGGATTATTAAAAATTTTAAAGCTAATTATCATAAATTATTAGTAACAAAATGGATAAATGATATAGAAAATAGAAGTCTTTTGAGCCAATTAATGTTAAAGAAGCCATTATTTAATTTCTGATGCATGTTGCTCACAACAATCATTAATTGTTGGAATAAAATGAAAATACTTCTATTAGAAATAGATTTAACTAATAAAACAGGTAATAATAATATGGATGAGCATAAAAATGTGTTAGAAAAACTAGAAATATTATATGATTGTATTAAATTGTCAGCAGAGGAATATGTAAATGTAGATAATAAATTACAAATAATGGATACACTGACCAAAGAATCTGTTATTAGAGATATTTTTAAAGAGCAAGGTTTGGTCAACAATGAAGATTCAGATAATAATAAGAAAGAGGAGGAGGATGAAGTTGAAGATGAATAGATTCCATATAATGAGGGGAAAATGGCATTGGAAGTTGTGAAAAAGTATTTTGAGCAATTGCAATTTGCTACAGAAGACGATATTTATTTGTTATGAAAAATTATTAAAAAAGCAGAAAGTTTTTATTGATCTAGTTTTAAACAACAACTATTGACAAATATTTTATTACTCAATAAAATAATACTATATAAAGTTGGTTTTTTTGGTTATGCTAAAATCAATTATATAATATAAATAAAGGTATATAAAAAATATTATACAATTAAATGATATCATGTTTTTAATTAGATGATTTTTTAGCAATCAGATAGTACATATCTATTATAAGTAATTAATCATTTTTATTTTAGACCAGAATAGCAAACTTACTAAATTTGTCTTATTATAATAAAAAACATAACCTATTGATTAAAGCTTTGAAAATGTCTTTTATTATTTATGTGAAGTAATGATAGATTATATAATCAAAAAGTAAAGCAGCTACAATTTAAGCATTACATCAGATTCTATAATAAAAAAACTGATTAAAGGCTAAGAATCACATGCAAACAATAAAGTGATGTATATCAGTGATGCACAAATAATAAAAATATTAGACAATACAAGAATCAAGGTATATATAACTAAACTAAATTGATTATATAGAGTTTTCTGTTACTGAACCTGAAAACAAGAGAATTTCTTAGGACCTAGAAGCTAATAATTATATGGTTCTGCAATTTCTCTGTTCATATTTCTCTGCTTACATACTGTTTGCATTTTCTGCTCTTAGCTGCTCACAGCTGATTTATTTCATAATTAGAAAAACATTAGTTTATCAATTCTGTAGTAATTTCTAGTATAATTATTTTGCAAATTTCTTAAAATGTTCACCATTCTTGACCAATCTTAGTCAATTATTCATTTTCATGTTATGTACTGTACTAATGTATATCAATTGCTTAAATAAAAATTATTTCTGGCCTAGTAAATAATTTGCTGACTTAGTCCAAACAAGTATAGAATATATGAAACAATATCTTTTATATTAATATTCTTATATCAGACATATATTGTCATAGAGTGTTTTCAAGCATTTTAATTAATTTGTCAGAATGGGTCTGAGAATAACTTTAATTAATAAAAATGGTTTAACAGATCAATTGTATTGATATTTCAATAAATAAAACATGTGATAAAAGTTTAATATATCAAAAAATAAAAACTTATTAGTGGAAAATCATTTAACTAATCAAGAATGTTTATTATTCCAGTCAACAAGAGATAAAGAGTTCACTAAATGAACATCAAAAGTTCAGATCAGATGACCAGCACCACAATCACATCATATATAGATCTCTACATAAAGTTAGATTGTGCTATTTTCTTAAAGCACAGATTATTTGCAGACTAGTGCTGCAGCTATGACTCATTTAATAAGAAGGCACATATAATTTAACCTTATGTGGAATCTATATATGCTATAGTTATAATGCTGATTATCTAATCCAGACTTTTGGTAATCACCTTGGTAAACTCAAGATGAAGGCCCAGAAGTCTTTTTTTCATAGAATTGCACTTATTGGTTGAAATTTTTCATTTATTAATTAGAAAAAATAATTGTTCAAATACTTCATTCTTTTTACATTATTATTATTATAGATCTTCAAAATCATTATCAACATTAACAAACTATTATCTTATTAGTTAAGCTTATATTAAAATCATTACAAAGAAAAAAGGCACATTTTTCTGTCTCTATTAAGGCAACCTGGCACAAAATCCAAATTAGTATTATCTCTGCTGCACATACATATATTCCAAATAAAAAATTTACTGTACACAACTTCTAACAAATATTCTTCTCAAAAGCATCACAATTACACTTCCATCTTAAAAAACTTGGAAACATTATCAGACAAACCAAAGCCTCTATTCAGCAACAATCAGCTATACCTATTCAACACAATCAAACAATTCATGAACTTAACCTTTCTCATTTTCTTAGTATTCCATCTATACCAAGTAACTATGTACTATTACCTGAATGGATCTCCTTAACTAATACAGAATAGAAATTATTATATTATGCATATAATTTAGAAAACATTAAAAACATTAGAAAACAAATTAATGATAACATAGCAAAAAGATGCTCTAAACTTCAACACAAACCTACATCAATGATTAACAGTATACTTAACTGACACTGTGACCTTGTCAGATTTGACAACATCAAAACTAATACTGATATTATTACAGAAATTCTACTCATTAAACAACACATTCAGAATTACTTTGATCAATGGACCTCTTCCTGCCATATTCAAACTCAAATTTTTAACTTCTTCTGGTTAGATGAATATCAACCCAAATCTGATATCAAATCTAACTGTTACCAATAGGCTCTTATTAACTTTACTGAAGAGGAAATTTCTATAACTCTAAATTAACTTCCTAATAACAAATCAGCTATAAAATACTAAAACATGCAGGCCCTATATTTATAACAACTATAAATGCATTATTTAACAAATGTCTTAAATTAAAGCATATACTTAAGCAATAAAAAGAAGAAAGAATATTCCCAATATCCAAAAAACCTATATTTGATAGCAACCTTACTAATACTAGACCTATTAGCCTTTTTGAACACATTAAAAAACTTTATACAAAACTTCTTACTAATAGACTTAATAGTATTTTTACCTAACATCCTATTCTATCTCCATACAACTATATTGCCCTTCCTGGTAATAGTACATCAATCTCAATCCATATCTTAAACAATACTATAGAAGATGCTTTCTGTAACTCTAAACAACTCTGGCTACTATCACAAGACATGAGTAAGACCTATGACTCTGTCAACCATAATCTTTTTAAAAAATTCTTATTACAATTACAAATGTCCCAATACCTTATTAAAATTCTAACTTATCTTCTTACTGATCACTATAATCATGTTATAACTAACCTTGAACTTACAAACTCTTATATAGTTAAAAATGGTATTGATCAAGGAGAGACAATTACATCACTCTTCTGGAGAATTTACTATGACCCTCTTGTTAATAAAATTGCCAACTATTTTCATAGATACACCTTATATACCTTATGGAAAACTAACCTCTTCTTACATCAACTACAAAACTTACAAACTTCTATATTTGTACTAACATATATGGATGGTACCCTTTGGATAGTATAGTCCAAAAATGAACTTGAATCAATTACCAAAATAGCATCATCCTTCTATCACATGCAGATATACAAATTAATTCTGCCAAATTTATCCTGTTTTCTAATATATCATCTATTGCTAAACTTTCTTTCTTTAATTTATCAATTAAACCTATTCCAGCTAATCAACTATTCAAATTCTTAAGCTGCTGGTTTACACTTAATGAATCTATGTCCAAACAAGGCCAGCTAATTTAAGCTGAAGCAACCCAACTAATCAATATTACCAATACTAAAAAAATTACTGGAAAACAAATAGTATATATTATTAATATAATAATTATACCAACAATTGAATATAGACTACACAATACTATCCTTTTATACTCTATATGCAATAGCATATTAGCCAAATATCTTACTATAGCTAAACATAAATTCAACTTATCCAGAGCCTTTCCTAATAGCTCTATGTGCAAACTATATTTATACAATATCCATAACATTTGGAACATTCAACTGCAACATATCATCACTAATTTTTAATAACAGATTAATGATCTTAATATTCTTGCCACAGCAACTAAAATTAGGTTGCAACAACTTCAAAATAACCTTTTGTCTACTACTAATATTCTTCAATATAACCAACCTATTATTGATAGATACAACAAAATCACTCTTAATTTTAAAATTATTCAGTTGTTTCAACATCTCAACATTACAATCTCCACTTATCACAATATATTATGACCAAATACTATACACAATGCATGTTAACCAATTGAACCTATACTTATACAACATTCAAAATACATTACCTTTAAAAAACAATTAAGAAAACTTAATATCCTTTATTTAGAGCAACTATGTACTGCTGATAACAGTATATTACTTAAATGACAACATCTTTCACCAAGATTACACCAACTAACAAAAGAAAAACAACCTTTATGGTTCACTTCTCTTGACAACAAAATCATATCAGATAAATATCACAGAACTATCTTACCTTACTTTTAATCACCTGGTACCAACCCTTTTGCATACAATACATATCCTATTGCCAAAAAACAAAAACCTTGACTCTTTACTTATTATTTCAATAATGAAGAAATTATTATTAGCAAAATTCGCAAATATATTTCTGCCTTTAACTTATTCTCGATTACATATTGTAAATCTAATATTAATTTAGATTATGATCAATATTACCTACTATCACTATCAAATGCAAACCATGTACAGGATGTTATCTTAATTCAATCAAAATTAACCAAATATGTACTATTAACACATTAGCAATTATTTCTGCAATATTCCTAGCTAGAAAAACCTTTAACAATCTTAAACTCAATGCCAATTACATTGATCTTATATACTCAACAGCTATTAAACATCCTTTATATATACCTC